CACGATCACTCGCATCTCTCTTGCTCCACTATGCACAAAGAGCCCTAGTTTTGTAATAACCATGTGTGGGCCCGTGGAGACTTCGGTGGCACTGCGCATTTCATGAAAACGGAATTGGGTACAACATTGAGCAAAGGTGAGATTAGGTGGCATTAGAGCGCCATCAGACGTTCGCTTGAGAAGGCGGACGGTGAGCGGCGTACCACACTGGCACAAGGCCATTGTCCATCTGCATCTCGAACGACGAAACCGCCCGTGGCTCGCCCACGAACTGGTCAGCGAACTGGTCGGCCCCCACTGAAAGTGTGCGGCGGCGTGCCGCGAGCCTCCTCGAGCCATATGGTATCAGTCGTATCGGGAACGTTCCGGGCTCTTGGGTCCGCTATCCCGCACCGCGGGTGCCGTCACAACGAAATGACGCTAATGTTCCAGATTCTGCACTCTGCTTTCAGGTGTGAACTCCGACCACAAGACCTTCCCCACTCCTGCGCCGGACCCACGTGCAAAAATTCATCCTTGAGGGTCGGCAGACCCCGAGCCATCTCGGGTTCTTCCTTTAGCATTGAAGTCTGATGGCTGAAACAGTACCCCCCCCCCCCCTCCCCTGGTGGTAGTGACCCCGGCTCTTGTCAATTAATTTAAGGCTTTGTTTGACATGTTCTGGAAGGTAGTTGAGCCCTCCCTTCCAAAGCACGAGAGAAGATTGTATCGAAATTGGAGCTCCACAAGAGAGGCGCCTAGGACAAGCTGCCATCCCACAATTCGAATTCTGCGGGACAAAGATTGAGACGAGGTAGTTTTCCACGTTTCTGAGGAGTGCTCCTGTCTTCTGTTTCCTTACATCGATGCTTCCGGGCCGTCATGCGTAATGGTACCTAAATGGTAAGTACATGAAGTTAGTCACTTGCTGTTAGCAATGCTAGGGCTTGGCCGAGTCCTAACAGTGAAGTGATCGCACCAGTTTTCCATAGCCATTTCATTTTCAGTGTCCCACCTGGAACTTGGAGCTTGCTGGAAGGAGTCACGACAGGGTTAAATATTTTCAATCAACTAAAAGAGAACACTGGTAAAAGGTAGGTTTCATCATCTTCCTTATCTATCCGACATTATGAACAGAAAATCCAACTAACATAATCACACATACCATCATGTTGGCAGTGTCCTATTCCAAGTTCTTCAATTTCCACCCTGACCTTCGCAATTGGAAGCCATCTCTGGGACGTTTTCCACTTAGTGTATATCCAGACCAGTGATAAGTTACTAGTACTCCCGAGGAAGCGTGTTGCACTTGAATAGTTCACAAACATTGCAAAGGCTCCGTGAATTGCACGAACGCCACGGACTCTGAGACGTCGGAATCCTATGCATTCTGAGACGGGCTGATTCTCCGATTTAAACCCTGGCACTGATATAATTCCTGCCAGCTGATGCGTCAGGTACTTCTCCGGTGTTATGTATCACCACCACTGCATTATGCGACTTGAAGGTGCATTGCAATAGAAAATAGCCGAACAGCATGTGATTGCTGACCGCTGCGCTGTGTAACGATTGCAGTTTCTGACGAAACACAATCTGGTTTATTTTTGTCACTACGTCGAGACCATGCTGCAATGTGCTCTACTTCCGCTTGCGTGCCCCGGTTCTCCGCCTGAGCCACCATAATCAACTGGCAAAAATAACGGGTCCGAAGTAATGATGGCGAAGCCGCTCCTCCAACGCTGACTTGAAAATAGCGAGCTTTAGTCAGAAGTAGCCATATTACATGAAATACTGAAGGTTACTGCCAAGGTTTGTGCGCGGGATATCGCCATATTCGCTGACAAAGAGTGTCGTACAAAATCAGAACTACCAGCCAGCCGGAAGACCCGTGATGCAGCGCGTCAGCGCAGATGTGGCTGTCCACTTGTGTGGACAGCCACATCTTACAGTGTATATTCAGACGGCAGAATATCCGTGTTCCCACGTCGTCAGCCTGTGATCATGACCGGACCAGATCGCGCGGTAACAAGATCATCTTTGTCAACAGTGGACCTCTGTCACCCTGAGGCTTGAGAGTGGCAGTCGGACGGAGAGGATGGAAAGGGGGAAAGGAACAAGGCTAGAGCGAGCCAAGGTCCTAAACAGAAGAGCGAGCGAGGGGGAGAAAGAGAGGGAGAGGAAAGAGAGAGAACACACACACACACACACACACACACACACACACACACACACACACACACACACATATATATATATATATATATATATATATATATATATATATATATATATATATATATATATGCGTGCTTTATATGCAAGTTTGTTATATGCAAGGGCATGTATACATTTAATCAGCTTCTTGCGCGTTTGCTCGATTGCTCGAATCAAATCCTTCTCAGGATTCAGGTTCCGAGATGACTGCTCTCACCAATTACAGACCAATTAAAAACCCTAAGACCAATTGCATCTCGAATCCCCACGCCTACCTATCAGCTGGCAAAAACTTTAAACAGCCTGCAATCAACAGTAGAGTTCATAAAATTCATCAAGCATAGCAATGCCACCTGGTGTACTTACTTCTTTAGCCCAAAAAAGTTTGTTCGCAAACAAACGTTGATGAAACGGTCCGGATTATGTTGCACGGCATCTACAATCACCAAACCTTGCCACCACTGAAACTGTCACGATCCATCCCTGAAAAAAATGCTCCGATGCTCCATCACAGAGACAACCTTAAGTTGCCTAAACTAAAAACTCTGCCGTCAAGTAGATGGTGTCGCAACGGGTCACGGCTCGGATGCTTGTCTGCGAACTGTTCATCTGCCGGCTAGATAATAATGTTCTCAAAAATTTGAGCCTTAAACCACATATACTGCAGATACGCCGGTGACACATTTGTTGATGTCGAAGACGTACTTCGCCAACCGCAAGCCGCTATGAAGCGGCAATGGTTACTACAATTTACGACTAACCTGAGCGTCGGCAACCGTCTGCCACTTCTTGACAGCGATGTGGATGCGAGTAATGGGTGTTGGTAACGAAAGTGCAACGTAAACCTACCGACACTGATCGAACTTTGGCGGACCGAGCACCTAAGGTATTGAAAGGCTTTAGCTTCCCGACGACGATCACATCATGTAACTTTTTAAAAGATAACGTCTCTTTCTTTTAAAACTTCGAAACAGCCAGAACGCATACTGAAAAACAGGTAACGGAAGTTTAGTCTTAAGAATACATATATATATATATATATATATATGCATGTATATACACACACGCATATATACATATATATATATATATATATATATATATATATATACACTCGGTGGAGTGACTGACAGACGCAACTTGATAACAAGAACTATTAAGGCCTATCAAGAACTATCAAGACCTTGATAACATCGCAAGGAAAACTGAGCACGCTTCCGAAATCAAAGTGCCGAGAAAGCTGTCCGTTCTCTACGGTCAAACCACTATTATGCCTGAGACCAAAGAAGGATTTATCAATTTGTCTTCCATCGAGGGTACTGATAAACAGAAGGAGCTGCCTAGCTTAAGTCTTAAAAGTTATATTCAACCAAAATTGGATCAGACCTGTATTCATTCCTGAACGCATTTTTTTTTTCAGGGAGCATTTTTTCAGGGACGGATCGTGACAGTCAGACCGGCATTCATTGTATACATCAACATTCCAAAGAAGAAGGCCGAGTTAGCACTATTACATCACGATATCCCGTAGCTCAAAAAGGAAAACATGGTAGCCGTTAGCCTTACGTTGAAGGATCAACTTATTGGACTTGAGGGACCAGCCAGTTGGTGAAAGCACGAAAGCCAGAAACTATCGCCAGAGAAAATTGAGTGCGGGTCTACGTTTAGCAGCCCAAGAACTGAGAAATCATGAAGAGATCGTCGTAAGAAGGGCAGATCACTTCTGTCTATTTGCCATCATGGACAAATGATCAGCAAATCCAATCAAGGTCAGTGACCTGGTTTGACCTTTGATAAAGTCACAGCGACCAAATACCTACGCGATTGCTATTTTGCCCTTCGAATAAGCGCTAGGGATTACGCTAGACGGTATGTTCTCAAAAGCAAAATGTTAACAATGGTCATTTTAGGTCAGTGATTTAATCTGACCTTTGAAAAGTTCATGAAACATGTCATTTCTTGACGGTTCTTGTCATTAATGAATTCGAAATGAGCGCCAGAAACTATCCCATACACCAAGCTCTCGAGTAAAAAAGCAAGTTAGTTTTGACCTCCGTCTGACCTTCACACCTGACCCTAGGTCAATGAAAAGGGTTGCAATTATAAATTCAATCGGATTATTGCCTAACAAACTATCTCAGCTACGCATGGCCTCGTCTGACACTCTTGTTGCATCATATTGAACGAGTCCCTAGAAAAGCCCCCGCTGACAGCCATGGCCTGGCTTCGACCCACCATAGGTTAATGGCCCTCCAAGCGCATTTATATTTTGTTACATCAACCGACCCGCTATTGAATTATCTGCAGCTATGCAGTTTAGCGTGGCTACGCCACGCCGATCGGAAATAGTTTTGGGAAAAACCTTCAGGGTGGCGTCAATTTAACCCGCACCCGAGCACATGTTAAGATAAAATACAGAATAAAGCCTTGCATCTAAATACGAGCAATGACGAAACATCGTCGCTTTTGGACCAGGTCATCCTTAATGCAATGCTTTTATGTTGGGATGATTTCATTTAATCAGTTTCCGTGTGGGTTTTAGAGTTTTAATATAAATGCCCATGGCAAAACAGTTTAACGTTCGTCAAGGGTTTTTCAATGACTTGCAGTGCTTCGTGAAATCAGTCAACAGACACTTCACCCTACTGCGAACGGGAGAGGACCGAACAAGGTCCAATCAGGCGATGCCGGTGATGAGAAGCGTTCCGTCCACACGGTGAGGTTTGTCAACTCACGTTAAGGCTTTTCCTACCAGCGCATAACGTACCAATGCCCGATTCGAACAAACACGCTACAGATAAGCTTCGACTTCAACTGTATTAATCATGACCACATCAGTAAAACAACATTCCTTGTCACCACATGAAAGCACAAGAGTTACAATGCCCAGAATACAGCCCACAACCAACCTCTCAAGTTGAGTCAGTCACGAGCAGAAGTAAATCCAACATGCCGCATCCAAATACCGTCAGCACGCTGCAGAGAAACGTTCATTCATTAACTCGAACAGAACATCCCATCAACAAGAGAAGACAGTATTGAGGCAAGCATTACGTTAAAGGGCCACGCCTGATTTGAAAGAAGAGCTGGCCGACCTGAAAGACCAAGGCCGGCGGGTGTAATCAGAACCAAAACACAGGCATTTCACTCAGGACGGAATGTACGGAGAGAATGAACGGCCAAACGAGACCCATCACATTACAACATCCTAGCTACGCATATGGATGTAATTGAGGTACGCAGAGTAGTTTGATATTGCACCAAATTATGCCTTTCATCTGCAAGTACGTCTTTGGCCGCGTGGCGTGTCTACGAAACTGACGCCTTACGGCGAATTACCACAATCGTTGTACAATCCAGCGAACCGAACTGCCCGCACTCCGCGGATGGTCCGGCACGAGTCACCTACTATAACCCACCCATTTCCCATTGACAGCATGATCCACAGCCGGTCAACAGATCCACCTCACTCTGGCCTCCCGCTGACCGTCCGTGCGAGCGAAGCATTCACGACGATGACGAAATCAACGAGCGAACAGTAAATACGAGCAAAGCCGCACCGCCTCACCAGTCGCCATTTTGAAGTGCAGACACCTGTATGCTTCTAGGCTCGCCGCCCTCTCTCCCTCTCCCCCCTCTCTCTCTCTCACACTCACTCACTCACTCACTCACTCACTCACTCACTCACTCACTCACTCACTCACTCACTCACTCACTCACTCACTCACTCACTCACTGACTCACCCTCTTCCCCTTTGTCTTAAACCAGCCCTTTCACAACGAGGGCGTCGTCCTAAAATGAGTTCGCACGCGTTGGTCTCATTCACTCTAGGCGATGCTCTGCAGGGTTTCTGTGACCGACTGCACGTCAGGCCCCAGCTGCTCCAGATTCCGGCCACGACCAATCTGATTCCGAAGATTCCGGTGCGGATTCTGTGGATGGCGCCGTGTTACTTGCTCGGCAGCACCTTGTACGGATTGAGGATGCCGTTGGGGTCCATTACGGCCTTGAGCGTCTTCATAAGCCGGATGGCCGCCGGCGTCTTGGAGAGATGCAGCAGGTCGCGCTTCTTGAAGCCGATGCCGTGCTCGGCGCTAATGCTGCCGCCCTGTGCGGCCGTCCACTCGAACAGGTGCGGCTCGATGGCGCCCTCAACGGACGCATCGAACCGCGGCGCCGTCACGTTCAGGTGAATGTTGCCGTCGCCTGTCGGCAGCGCGGGGTCAAGGTCAGGCCCGCGGCCGCGCGCGTGGGGGCCGGCCGAGGGGGCGCGGTGGCGTCCGGTCGGGCTGCTGCTGCGTGTTTGACGCGGTGTGGAGGCTGTGTTTTGGGCGGGGAACTTTGATTTAGAGGAGTTATTGCTGGCTCCTTGGCCGCCAGCGTGCTCTTTTTACGACTTAAATGACACGTTTTGGACAAATGGAGCCACGCTAAACCAGGATTATGTGAAAAGCCGTTGCATGCGACAGCGGGAAACGAATCACGCTGAGAACCCGGTAAATTTAGAAGATTTCAAAAACTTCGCATGGTATCGTATCTATACGATGCGTCCCGAGGCGTTTCATGACTGGCCAATTGCTGTCAGCAGGTGGAGCTGACTAGCTCGCCGGCGGCCGGAATCACAGGCGTCCGCCCATCACAGAAGAGTGGTGCTGTCGCCCCATAATGCCACCGGGGTGAATCACCATAATCCCACGGTCTGTGTCGCAACATGGAACGGGTGCACGCTTTGATGCAGCGTTGTCAGGCAAAGGCCGCCACACCGTTATGGGCGCTTGTCACAGCAATAGCTATCGTTTCCAACAACAGTTCACGATTGAAGGCGGCACAACGCAGCTACCGACAGCCATCACGATCGACAGGCGTCGGGGACGTGCGTGGGATTTCGTGATGGAGGGGGGGGGGGGGACAACCCCAAATGTTTCACTCGAGACCACATTTGGTGCGCTGCAGGCGCCAGAAATATGTTGCATGCTAAATAACAGTATGTTTTCTTGATCTGCTAGTTTAACGTGCCTACCCCGCATTTTCAAGAATTGACGAGTCGCACACATATCAATGCAAGCAAACAAATTGATAAGAAAGGGACACATGTCTCAGAGCGTCACTATGTGCGTACGCCCCTGACAGGCGTATAATGCCCCGCACCAGATGCTGAGTTCATTACTTTGTCTCCTGCCCAACGAGCCCTCAATGGCGTATTGTCAGCGAGCTGTCCGCTGATTGGTCGGGTTGCGCTCGATGGGGGCTGAGGGCTGACGTGTCCGCGCGCCAGTGTCCGGCCGGCTCAGCCGCGCCGGACGCGCCGCTTCCAAAGATCGCTCGTTCGCGGCGGCCAAACACGACAAGGCCGCACAGCCTGCACCCTGCGGCGACTGTTGATCACTAACAAACAGCGCGGCAGACCCCAGCGCCCACGTGGCTGCGCCGCAGCGGATGCCGGCTGCCTCGAGTGTCGCCGGGCTGATGCGTTTGAAGTGGACAAGACGATGCAGTTCAGGACCGCGATTATGCAAGCTGGACTACCGCATCGCAATAACGAGACGAGCGAACACGCGAACCACGACAGCGTTCCGCGCCTGCCCCAGCCGATGGCATTAGTGAGAACGACGTCGATGCGCCCATTCGGGGACGCGAGTTGCAAAAGCTCGATAGAACAGCGAACCCCGCGCGAAGGACTGAGGACATAAAGCCACTGTGCCCGTAATGCAAAGCGGACAAAGAGCCTCCAATGAAAAGAAATAAAAACAATTGCGGAGGACAGCATGTCAAAGCTATTTTTATTTTCTCTAGCAAATTATTTTTCACATGGGCACACATCAGTGATCACGGTATATAATGAGCGAGCGAGAAAGCGGGAGAGAAAGGGTGCGTGCGTGCGTGCGTGCGTGCGTGCGTGCGTGCGTGCGTGCGTGCGTGCGTGCGTGCGTGCGTGCGTGCGTGCGTGCGTGCGTGCGTGCGTGCGTGTGTGTGTGTGTGTGTGTGTGTGTGTGTGTGTGTGTGTGTGTGTGTGCGCGTGTGCGTGTGTGCGTGTGTGTGCGTGTGCGTGTGTGTGCGTGTGTGTGCGTGTGTGTGCGTGTGCGTGTGTGTGCGTGTGACTGAGTCCTGTCAGATGTTGCCTCTTAAAATCCTTTTGACCAGAAATTCAACTCATCTAGCTCGATAAAAGCTGACGGGCCCTTCCGGGTATGCTTCGAACTTGCCTCCCACCAGCAAGTAAAAATGGACCTCAAGGGACGCCATGGCTGCACCGAACGGCAAGGCCTGGCGGCAGACGCTCAATACCGGGAAGCAGCGTTTCCACGAGCTAATACAAAGTTCACGCCGAATAAATGTCTCGCAGAGAAACTACTTGGCATACATCATAATGTATAATTCGCATGAGATCGCTCGAGCAGATGCTGTAAACTGGATCAGCAGACAAGGAGCTTCGTGGAGCCAGTGCAATACTTCCGCTGTGAGGACTATGGCTGACATCCGAAATCCAACAACTCCCCACTGTTTGATCGCTGCAATGCGTCTACGGATTTCCTCACCAACAAGTCGGACAATGGCAGTAAGCATTCGCCACATTAACACAACACCACGACACGACGGCGATATGTCTGGGAAGCTGAACCCTACTAAGCAAAGAACTCCCGGCACCGAACCGGATGAAACCCCCTTACGCACTCCCGGCACCGAACCGGGTGACCCCCCCCCCCACCCCCACCCCTAACGCGCCCTCCGGTTGTGTCACGGCTCCTGAGCGCTACTAGGACCCGTGCAGTCGCGGGCACTCCAAAAAGCCCCGTAGAGTCCCCTCCAACTACCAAAATCAGCAGCAAACCAGCAGCACACCGCCCACCAGCACCAACTTCAGCGCCCACCGGGCACCGTTTGCTGCGGTTCTCCTTCCAAGGCGCGGTCCGTTCCGATTGCTGACGGCCACGCGCCGATCGGGCTCTGCATGATTTCCCCGCGCGCGTCCGACTCGCGGCCGCTTCCGGGGCTCCGCCCACACCAGATGGCAGCACACCGATCAGACGATCCGATGCGGTGGAGGCCACCGCCGGGTCCTCCGCGCCGCTGGCCCGGGGCGGCTCAATCTGTTCCACTGGCCGAGCCACAGCCGACCGATTGGGCCTTTCCCCGAAGGTGGCAGTCAGCGCCGCTCCATGGCGTTAAAATATCCGGCACCTCATAACGATTGGGCCATGCGGCAGCGGACTGCTGCCGTTCAACGAATCCGCGGAGCATCTCCACATAGGCAACAATTGTGTTAAGTTCATGAATAAGCTGCTAGCTGATACCATCGTCTGCTCAATACGTGAACCATCAGCAAGGTCTGATGCACACGGCTACAGCATCGTATCTCCAGTCAGGTGCATGGTGCCTCCAGCCATGCCCATAGCATCTCAGCCATCCGCACAGTATATCTAGCTGTGTGCATCGTAGCTTTAGCCGCGTGCACAGTATCCTTAGCCGTGCGCACAGCACTTCTATCCGCGTGCAAGGTATCTCTAGCCGTGTACATAGTAGCCCTTGCCGTTTGTGACATGTCACTGGAGCTTTACGACGCACTCAGCTGCTGAGGCTATATGGCGTCGCCTGCCTCTCACCCTGACAGGAAGGGCGGGCACCACAGGGAATCGAACTCCGTACCTCTGGTTTCCCAGACGCGCGGTGGTTAAAGCGTACGCGTTAACCACTGCACTACCGGCACGCACATGCGGCAGTTCAGTACCCGGTGCGCGGGGTTCCAGCTCGCGCCACACGATAGCCAGAGTTATGCGCCACCAACCGCGCCCCTCACAGCCCTCCTACTGAATGTGGGGAACCAAAGATTGGAGCCATTTAGCCGAATGGTGCAACGCACCCTGGCCTTAAGATGGCCGAAATGCCACGCCGTGACGTCATCATGGTGACACATGTTACGTCCTCAGACAGCACACCGCCGATCAACTTAATCGACTTGCACATGACACTTGCGCTCTAATAAACTTCTTGAAATCCCCAGAAATGTCTTCAACCCCCTGGAAACTGGAAACTCGGCGGGGCACTTCATAGGCTGCTCCGCATCTCACCCGCAGTGAGGTAGAGCACCCAATGACGTCATGACATGAGGCAAACCACCTTTTGACGTCATGCTGATGTCACACAATTTTAGCGACGCCCGCGTGACGTCACTGGAAATACGTTGACGTCACTGGGATTACAGTGAAGCTGCCGTCTTGAAAGCCAACCAGTTTGATCACTGCGCGATGTTGATGGCGATTCCGGTTCGGTCATTTTTGCTACTGAACAAAATTGTCACATGATACTCCCCAACTACACTTCTGTTGGCATTTCATTATTATCTCACCACATTTACTGAACCTACTGCCTGGCTACACTTTTGTTGGCATTTCATTATCATCCCACCGCATCTACTGAACTTGTATAAGCTCGGCGCGTTGGCGTCCTCCCGCAGCGGGTCCTGTCGCATCGACTCTGGCCAAAGCCATCTCGGGCCGAAATAGCCCGCCCATTCAGGCCCGGCGGCGGCAGGGCGGGGGCGGGGGCGGGGCGGGCAGTTAGCGACACCGGCCCGGCGCCGGCCACGGACCGGGAGCGGACGGCACGCGCGACCTCCATGTCCAGCCGCAGACGGTGGTCGCGCAAGGCGACGGCCAACAGATGAAAGGGCAGCACTAACAGCGCAGAGGAGACGGATTTGCTCGGGCCGACAGTCCAGCCCGCTGCAGCGTTCCGTAGGCAACACAGGTCAGCACCCGCCAATAGGACATGCACGCTGAGCCGCGATGATTTTGTCGGGGCGTAGCTAAGCCGTAAAGGATGGCAGATGCCGGAAATGACTGATCCTCAATCTCTGCCACTAGGCCACATGACGGGGAGACCAAGACTCGGGGATCCCTGACGCGTGACGTCAGAGGTCACGTGTGAGGCGGTTGACAGAGGGAGGGGGAGAAAGGAAGGATCCATGTGGTAGTCGGAAATTACTCAGCATGGACAGCTTTAGTGTTATCCCCTCTGTATGATTTTTACACGACACTAACATGGATTACCACCCCGAAAAAGCGCATTTTCTTTTAGGCCTGTTCTCAATTTTCTCTTTACCTTATTCACACGCGCCCAGGTGGCCGGCTAGATGCCCCTCATTCGGGTGGGGGGGGGGTGGGGGTGGGGGGGGGGGGGTCAATCTGACACTCCCCTGAAATCCCGGG